ATAAGGTGTAGAAGCCATTGTTTAAGGTAAGAAAAGATAAAAATTAATTGAATAGAGTTAGAGAAAAAGAATCCTCAGAGCCAGAGGAGCTTTGTAGAAACAAAGTCATAGAAAAAATGCATTTCTGATTCTGGTCCTATCCCATAATACACATACCTTGTTAATGAAAAATTAAGAATGGGATAGATGAGCATTATGCTCAAATTTATTTATCATAAAATAGAGTTGTTATTGGAACTCTAACTAAATTCAAAGTGAAGGGGCTTCATAGCAAGCTTTCTCCGATTTTAGTTCAATTCAAACCTTACCTTGAATAATTTCAACAGAAAGCCTGGTCATTTTCTTAGTGATTATGAAAATGACAGCTAACACTTACATGATTATTGCAAATCAGGAATTATGCTAAATATTTAACATGAATGACCTCATTTAATCTTCATAACACTCCCATGTAATTTAGATTATTATTATTCCCACCACAAAGATGAGGAAACTGAACTTTAGCAAATTAAGCAACACAAAAAGCAGCACAACTAGCATATGACTCTTAGTCTTTCCTGAGGGTCCTGACACTTAAATTTTATTTGAAGTGTAATGGGAAGTCTTTGAAGGGTTTAAAGCAGGGAGGTAGTGTAATTAATATGATTAATGTTTTAAAAATATTAGCTCTGTGTGGAGACTGGACTGAAGGGGGGCTAGAGGAAGCAAGGTAGTCCAGGGCAAAGATGATGGTAGCTTGGAAAAGGTAGTATCCTAGAGATATATTTGCAAAATATTCAGGTGGTAGAAGTGACAGGCTACCTCTCTAATTGAAAAGCACTCCACTATTCCCTTGTTCACGACACTCTAGCCACACTGATCTCTGGTTCCTGAAACGCGCTAAGCCTTTTCCAATCTCTGAGATTCTGCATTGGCCATTCTCTCTATCTAGAATGCTTTTCACTGTATTCTGCTATTGCCTCATTCTAACTCATCTTACAGGACTCAGCCCAAATCTCACTTCCTCAGAGAGTCTTTCCTTGATGCACCATCTAAGTTTCGTCCTATCTTTTTAATCCAATTATTTTTTATCCCATACTTATTCACAATTTATTATATTTTGCTTGTTTTTTTTTTAACTTGTCATTTTTAAAAAATTTTATTTTATTTACTTTTGGCTGCGTTGGGTCCTCGTTGCTGCGCACGGGCTTTCTCTAGTTGCAGTGAGCGGGGGCTACTCTTCGTTGTGGTGCGCGGGCCTCTCATTGCGGTGGCTTCTCTTGTTGCATAGCATGGGCTCTAGGCACACAGGCTTCAGTAGTTGTGGCATGCGGGCTCAGCAGTTGTGGCTCACAGGCCCTAGAGCGCAGGCTCAGTAGTTGTGGTGCATGGGCTTAGTTGCTCCATGGCATGTGGGATCTTCCTGGACCAGGGCTTGAACCCATGTCCCCTGCATTGGCAGGCAGATTCTTAACCACTCCGCCAGCAGGGAAGCCCCTAACTTTTCATTTTATATTGGAGTATAGTTGATTAACAATGTTGTATTAGTTTCGGGTGTACAACAAAGTGATTCAGTTATACATATACATGTATCTATTCTTTTTCAAATTCTTTTCCCAATTAGGTTGTTACATTTTGCTTGTTATTTAACTGACTAACACATTACACTTCAAGATGCCAGGAACTATATTACTTTTGCTCATCACTGTTAACATAATGTCTAGCATATACACAGCTCCTGGCACCACAGGCAGTCACTGAATATTTGCTGAGGAAGTAAATGTCTGACTTCAGTGCTTTTACGCTTAAACACTGTGCAACTGTTTTTCACATTTGCTGATTTTAGAAGAAATTTTTCTCTTCTATCCCTCTGGAATTATCAACATAACATATCCCAAGTAATTCGTGATGCTTAAATCTCCAACCCACTCTCACTCCACAATCTTCCTAAACCCATTCCTAGATTTTAAAAAATGTTGAGAATAAAATGTACAGTAGGAGGAAGAGGGTGATGAAGTTGGCTTGAGGCAGGTGAGTTCTCATTTATTGTTGGTAAGAGTATAAACTGTTATGAAGCTTTGAGAAAACAATTTATCAATATGCAAAAATGGCCTTAAAATAAATGTAAATAGGGACTGCCCTGGTGGCACAGTGGTTAAGACTCTGCACTCCCAATGCAGGGGGCCCGGGTTCAATCCCTGGTCAGGGATCTAGATCCCACGTGCATGCCGCAACTAAGAGTTTACATGCTACAACTAAGGAGCCCACCAGCCACAACTAAGGAGCCCACCAGCCACAACTAAGAAGGCCATGTGCTGCAACCAAGGAGCAGCCTGCCTGCACCAACTAAGACCCAGCACAACCAAAATAAAAAATAAATGTAAATAAATAAAAACATATACAAAGAGGGGTGTGTGTGTGTTTGAATTTACATGAGATATCTGAAAAGATATAAACCAAACGTTTCTAACTAGTTAGATAGGTATTTCTAGTGAGTAAGAGAGCAAAATAGACTTTATTAAAAACACTTTTAAAAAATATAGGCAATTTTATATTTATAATAAAATCCCATTAAAAGTAAAAACAGAGGGCTTCCCTGGTGGCGCAGTGGTTGAGAGTCCGCCTGCCGATGCAGGGGACATGGGTTCGTGCCCCAGTCTGGGAAGATCCCACATGCCGCGCAGTGGCCGGGCCCGTGAGTCATGGCCGCTGAGCCTGCGCGTCCGGAGCCTGTGCTCCGCAATGGGAGAGGCCATAGCAGTGAGAGCCCCATGCCCCCCCCCCCCCCCCCCCCCACAAAAAAAGTAAAAACAGAAAATAAATCTTCATACTTTTGGCATAATAATCCTACTTCTGGGAACCCGTATTAATAAAGTAATGAGAAATGTGGTTTAGGGTTTATTTATAATGATCTTTACCAGTTGAGTTCTTTAGTATTTTAAAAAACTGGAAATAATCTGAATGTCCAACAACAGATTGAATAAATAAAGTGTAACTCATTCAAATGAAGGACTACTTAAAGATAGTAGAGAAAGATATATGAATAGGAAAAAACAAAAAAACCTTCAATAAAATCTACCAAAATAGGGGCTTCCCTGGTGGCGCAGTGGTTGAGAGTCCGCCTGCCGATGCAGGGGACACGGGTTCGTGCCCCGGTCTGGGAAGATCCCACATGCCACGGAGCGGCTGGGCCCGTGAGCCATGGCCGCTGAGCCTGTGCGTCCGGAGCCTATGCTCCGCAACGGGAGAGGCCACAACAGTGAGAGGCCCATGTACTGCAAAAAAAAAAAAAAAAAAATCTACCAAAATGTCCTTAACGGCTGTTTCTGGATGTTGAGAGTCTATGATTTTAGGTTACTCCTTTATGATTTTTTTGGTGTTTCCTACTTAAAAATAATCATATTTTATAATTGGAGAATTGCAAATATTATTTGTAGTACTCCTTTCTAACAAGTAATTTATATTTTTATTCAATCCTCATGACAAGCACTCACACAAAACATGTTTATTTGCTAAGACACTAGGTTTCAGTTCCCACTTATGGCCACCCACCTTATTTCTATGAAAATGTAACACACACCTTAATAATCTTTGGGAATGATATCTTCTTTTACTTGTGTATCATAACAACGGTGGTAGCTTAAGAAATAAAATTATCTGGAATTAAATATATTTCAGGAATAATTACGTTCTTAGTTAGAATCAGACCTAGTACTTACTTGTCCTTCCTTCAATGCCTTTGGTCAGACTTTCCTGAACTAGACTGATGGAGAGAAAACTATTTACCACTATTTTAAGCTACAAATAGGAAATTTCATTATGAAGTATCACATTTAACTTAGATACTTACACTGGGAGTTAAGTTGGCATCAAACCAATGAAAACTTCTACCTATTCATATGGTCACTGTTGGGAAGGCCCAACAAATTCAACTTGAAATGATGTATGTTTATTTGTAGATAAGAAGTCTGAAAGAATATTTACCAAAATGTTTACAGTAGTCAGGTACTTTCCTCTGGGGACCAGTAGAACAGAGCGTAAAAATGTAAGATAGATCCCACAAGCAATGGGGATAATGGGAAACAAATTCCATTATATTATAAACACGTCTTCTAGATATCCTATCAATGGAAGTTTGAGTTTAAAAACTTTTCAAATCAACCAAGTATGGACAGCCACTATAATACTTACATTCTGAAATAATCCAAACACCTAATCCTTCTAAGCAACAACATAAAAGCACACGTATAAATAAGTAAGGGCATAAATTCCATATACTGAACATTTATTTGGGAGACATTTAACATTCATATTACTCAGATACCTCATATAAAGAATGTGATTTAAATCCAGTGGTTCTGTTTAACTATAGCACATTTCTGAAATCAAATTCTTTCACGTGAAGTCATATTTGAATCTCTCTCTGTCTCTCTGTTCTCTCTCTCTCATTTTCTCCCCCGCTCCCCTCTCCCTTTCTCTCCTTTCCTCCCTCACTCTCTGTCTTTCTCTCTAGAAATAATATAGTGCAGACATTTCATTCATAAAAAATTCAACTGATATTATTTTCTGCAGGCAACCATACTCACATTTATATAGATCCATAGCATAAAATATTGTGCACTTCAGTTCAACTAATTCTAAGACACAAAAATCTTCTTGGCTGAAATTAACATGTTTACAAAAAGAGAACATAAAATTTGTTTTACATTCTGTTTTAAAATTTTAAGGATAATCATTTAGCACTCATTACAACTATTTTTATTCATGATCTGAATCTGTCTCCCACACCTTGAAATGAATCATTATTAATTTTCAGTACAAAAAAAAGCACACGAAAACCTGAACTGTTATTAAATCATTAAACTCAGAGAAAAAATTAAAGTGCACAGAGATGCTCATACTGGAGTTGGCTGATGTACTAGTACTAACTCTATTTAAAATTTCTTTCCTATATTATTTCCCAAGCAAAATACACTCATTATATTAAAGGAAACAAATGCCGTAATATATTTAATTGACTGTGGCTACTTTCTTACTTTTATTAATGTAATTAAAGAAGTTCTGTGTTCTAAGGTACATATTACACTTTGTATCCATGGACCCTTCTTGACACATAGAAATATCATCAAGTATGTAAAAAATAAACAGGTCAGGCAATAAAGCAAAAATAGGACAGTAAAAACAATACGATATTCACTTTTGTTCCCCTTAAAACAAAAATGTTCTTAACAATTGCTTGCTGTTGGCTCACAGAACTGGAGAATGTATATTAGAACTCCAGTACTCAAAACAATGATCTTCCTTGGCTGTTATTGTATAAGAAGCAATAAACCGTATAATTTACAAGAAGAAAGCTAATGAATCCTTCAGAAAACACAACCTGGCAGTTTATCTTCAATGCAAAACAATGAGGTGGCAGGAGTGTGATAGAGAAACCAGTCTTTGAGAACATCATGTAAGGGAATCCAGCTGTGCTTGTATGGTCTCTAGCTATTTACAAAGACAAAAAAAAAAAAAAAAGAGAAAGTTGGTGAAGGGAGAGAAATTCATATGAAGTGTTGTTTAGAAACATGCAAATGAAAGAAAAGGATGTAACTGGTAACTATGTATTTTAAATGTACTCACATAAGCAATAAATATACCACTTAGAAAATTTTTCTTTTTATGTGGATATTAGAATTCAAGCTTGCTATCTGTTTTCAAATTTGTAAAAGAGAATTTCTAAATACTACTGTTTAAAATGCATCCAGCTTTCATTTTAGATTTCTAAAGGGGGGGAGGGTGGTAGAGGGGGCAGTGCATTTTCCTGGATTACAAAATCAGTATTTACAAAGAAACACGAAATATCCTCAAAGATAAATCTTTAAAGGCCTGGTATCAGCCTTTTCCCTTGGGCCCAGAAATTAAAATATTTAATATTACCTATCTCTAAAGTGCCAGCGTGGCTAGATACCACACAGTTTATTATTTAATGCTTTACATTAAAACAACAATCCTACTGCTTTAATTAAAACCATATCCATTCTCTTCCTGATTTCGTTTGTCAGATTCTCTTCATCTTGGCAATGCTTCTTACTGTGAAACATAAGATGTTTATAAGGGAAGTTTAAAGAACTCAACTCTGTAATGGGCATTTAAAAAGAAGAATTCATAAAGTGGAGGAAACATTGTGAAAAACCCTACATTATCAGAAATTATTTAAAAAGTACAGACCTTGTTATAGAAATCAAACAATTCCTTGTGATTGAATTCCAGAAGAACTTTTTTCAGGCTCTGTAAAGAAAAAAGAAAGAAAGAAAAAAATTTAGTTGTGTACAATTTACATTGCATTTTTTTTCCTCTCCAGCTATCCTCAGAATATGCCATATTATTCTGAGTGGTTTAAAAAAAACAAACAAACAAAACTTACCTCCTCTACTCAACCCCACTGTTCCAAGAACTCAAAAATACATTTAATAACACTCCACTTTAGCAAAAGGTTTCAACTCTATAGGGGTATCTGTTCTTTAAGTTGACTCCACAACGGTTAATAAAATATATTCCAACAAGAGAACAATTTCATTATGTATTTTTTCAAGACAGAGATAATACATGAGATTATATTTCATCTTTCTCAGCAGTCCATTTGAAATCTAGTAAATACCATTACACGAAGACACTGGAGGCAGCATATCTGATTGAACTCATCCAGCCATTAATGCCTCACATCAGCACAGCTGCTGCCTCCAAGCATTAATCTAACAGTTATGATCTTAACATGCTGAGATTGTTATCTTTTGTAATGTACAGACTCAGCACAAGTTAACAACACAACAGCTTCAAAGCTGGGACTTAAACCTGCTCATTCCTTTCACCTCAAATGCAATAGAGAAATCGTTATGGATGCTACAGATGCTAAGTAATATTGTGTACGTGTGCATGATAGTGCAGTAAAGTGCGACATTAACCCAACCCACCCCAATCCGCTTTTGGTTGATTTTGTAAACAGAGGAAACACTGTTTCTGAAAATTGTTCAAACATGTTTATTTTACTCAACGTACCTTTGGGAAGTGAAAGTTAATGGGGAGAGAATACCAAGAATGTATCACCCGCTCTGACCATACTGTCATGCTCACATGACATACAACAGGCACCATGAATTGAAGAAGTGGAAAACTGTTGCAAACAGACATTGATTCATGCACTTAATTGCCTATGGTCATTTCCAACACTGTATTAATTCTATTTCTCAGTTTCTATGCTCACTTTTTTTTTGTTTTATTTGTTTTAATAATTTCCATTTCCATCCACAAAGCCAACATTTTCAAAACAAGCTTTCTCCTAATTTTAGGAGAGTCAGTGGGGCTCTGCTCAGAAATGGCACCTCCCTTTCCATGAAGCCTAAGCACATAGGCTCAAATTCCTTTCTTTGTTTTCTCTTATACATCCATGTAAGTTTCAAAATGAATGAAGAAGCATACTGGCTTTAATGCCTTATCCTTTACGAACGATAAAAAAAAAAACTATGAATTTTTCAAATCATATTAGAAGAATCAGTTGGCTAACTGGCACATATCCTGAAACCTCCAAAGGCTGAATCGGCATTATCTAGCAGTGCTATATTTCCTTCCAGCAGTTAAAGGGGAATGATAAACCTAGATTTACCCTAGGGAAAAGCAAAGCAAGTTCATTTCTTTACCACCCCCTCCCCAGACGAAAGTTAGGAGAGACTGAAGACTGAATCAGTATGTGAACAGCTCATTTGATGTACCCCTAGAGGTAGCAGCCAAGCTAGGCTCTTGTTTCCTGTACTTTGCTTTGCTTTCTTTCAGGGTAGTGTTTTCTAAAATGTTACACTGAGGAAAGGGAAGGAAGGTAACTTTAAAAAAATACTTCTTAAAATAACAATAGCTAAAATAATGTGTGTGTGTATGAGTGTGTGCATATATATGGATGTTTATTTTACACACACACACACCCCTATCCATCCATCCATAATAGTAATCCCTCAGTATCTGCAGGAGACTGGTTCCAGGACCCGCTGTGGATACTAAATTTTCCGCATGAAGTCCCATAAATGCCCCTCCAGATCTGTGGTTCCGAATCCGTAGATTCAAACAACTGTGGATGAAGTAGGGCCACAGTATTTATTGACAATAATCCAAGTATAAATTGACCTGTGCAGTTCAAACCTATGTTGTTCAAAGGTCAACTAAATTTAGTCTTACTTTACTGAAATACTTAGTCCCAACTGATACCTGATATAAAATTTCTTATGTTTGACACAATAACTGGTAGCTATTATCATTATCATTTCCCATTCAATTCACAATGACTTAGAGAAGACCATGAGAATATGGAAGAGTATGGGAGTGGTTTTAAGTGTTTCATGTCTATGTGTAGAGAGATTATCCAAAATTTTGAGAATCTATGCTTACCTAAGGGGTGGCCAGTGGCAGTTGTTTTCTAGGTTTAGGGAAGTAAGGATGGAGCTTAGATGTGTAGGATAAAAAGGAAAGGGGGGGAGGGGCTTCCCTGGTGGCGCAGTGGTTGAGAGTCCGCCTGCCGATGCAGGGGACGCGGGTTTGTGCCCCGGTCCGGGAGGATCCCTCATGCCACGAAGCGGCTGGGCCCGTGAGCCGTGGCCGCTGAGCCTGTGCGTCCGGAGCCTGTGCTCCACAACAGAAGAGGCCGCAACAGTAAGAGGCCCGTGTAAAGCAAATAAAAAAAAAAAAAAAAAAAAAAAAAAAAAAAAAAAAAAAAAGAATGGGGCATGCTGGCCAGGGGCCAACTCCCCACACTGTCATGTTCTGACGTGGAACCCCACAGAGTCTAAGAATCTTAAATTCAAATCTGGCCTTCCAGGATATTGTACAAAAGTACCTTAACAAGAAAAAAGTACAGTTCACATTTCATTTAACAGTTTGGTAACTTTATTTATGACTTTAAATTTAGAATGGATGATAGCCTCCAATTTTACTCTTTCTTCAGGTCCCATAAATATTAGGAATAGACCTGATCAAAATCTCCCCTGGGACTACAGCATTTTTAGGAGGAAAGCACACTCTTAGCTTTCCTTGAGAATATAACCAGAAAGTGACAAATTTGCTTATCAAATGAGAATCAACTCTTTACACTTCATTGTTTACTCTTCAGAAAATGTATGGAAAGGTTCAAATCATTATGTTGTACACCTAAAACTAATACCATGTTATGTCAATTATATCTCAAAAAAAAAAAAAAGCCACCTGGGTGGTAGCATTTGGCTGGGGAGAAGGAGGACACCATCAGGAGACCCTCAGATGCCAGATTCGATTGTTAAAAGGGACTCTAGCCAATGTGAATGATCTGGAAGCCTGGCTGGTGGTGGAACACAAGGGTTGGGGGTGGGGGAGAATAATTAGGAACAGCCCTTTTCTACCTTTCTTGGTAGGTTTCCTGGCAGTTCCCCCAGCTGAAAGGGGTGCATCCAGATTGCCCATGAGTACCCTGGACTAACAGGCTTGATCTGATTTGAAAAAAAAACCAAAAAAACAAGAGACTTGAACAGGCACTTCCCAGAAAAGGATGTCCAAACAGACAAAAACATATGAAAATATATGCTGGAAGGGGTGAAATTTTTCTAATTACCCTGGAAACTTGTCTGGCATTATTTACAAAAACTGAATATATACACACCCTATGACCCAGAAATTCACTGCTAGGTATTAATATTGAGCTCAATAGAAATGTACACATTTGGGCACCATGACATAGGTACAAGAATATTGATAGTATTATGATTCAAGAGAGCTAAAAATGGAAGTAACCAAAATTTCTTTCAACAGAAGAATATATAAGTTGTAGTATAGTAATACAATGGAATGTTATACAGACATGAAAATAAACTACAGCCAAATACAACATCATGCATGACTAACAAAATAAAGTTGAACGTCGGGGTGTGGGGCACAGAAGAACATGTATGATTAATTTCATGCAAATGAATATTTAAAAAAAACAACAGAAAAAGTTTTAGAGACAAATGCTTAGGTGGTAAAAGTATAAAGTAAAGCAACAAAAATATTACCAGAAATACCAAAATACTGATCACCTCCAGGTGACTGCAGAAAGGAGGCAGTAATTGGGAGGAGGCATAAGAGAGGCTTCTGATTTCTTCTTCTTATTGTTATTATAAATTAGGCAATAACTTATTTCTCGATCTTGGTGGTAGGTAAAAGGGTGTCCTTTTTTTTTTTTTTTGACAAATTACTGTGCTCTTTTTCTGTATGTGTGCTATATTTCCCCACTTAAAAAAACTCGGCACTGTTATATGTTAAATTAATTCCTTTTTATTCAATAAACTTTTTTTTTTTTTTTTTTTTTTGCGGTACACGGGCCTCTCACTGTTGTGGCCTCTCCCGTTGCGGAGCACAGGCTCCGGACGCGCAGGCTCAGTGGCCATGGCTCACGGGCGCAGCCGCTCCGCGGAACGCGGGATCTTCCCGGACTGGGGCACACACCCGTGTCCCCTGCATCGGCAGGCGGACTCTCAACCACTGCGCCACCAGGGAAGCCCTCAATAAACTTTTATTAAAGGCCTACAGGCCTGTTCTAGGTTCTACGTAAAGAGCAATGAGCAATAGAAATCAAAATCCCCCATATTCTAGTTGAAGAAAACAGACAATAAATAAGAAATGTAATAAAGACAATAATAACAATAATAATAACATCATCATCATAATTCACAACATACATATAGAAATGTTTGTTGGTGATAAATACTAGGAAGAAAAATAAAGCAGGGAGAGGGAATGTGTGTTTGGGGGTAGGTAGGTGGAGATTCAAGGTTAGATGGTCAAAAAGGGTCTCACTGAGCTGATAACATTTGAGTTAAGATTTACAAGAAGTAAAGGAGTAAAAAACCCCCACAGAATAGGAGAAAATATTCGTGAATCATTATCTAATAAGAGTATAGCACCCAGAATATATAAAGAACTCCTATAATTCAACAATAAAAAGACAAACCCATGTGGGTGGGCCCTAATCCAATATGACTACTGTCCTTATAAGAAGAGATTAGGACACAGACACAAAGGAACGATTGTATGAAGACACTGGAGGAAGATGGCCATCTACAAGCCAAGGAGCGAGGCCTTAGAAGAAACCAATCCTGATGACACCTTGATCTCAAACTTCTAGCCTCCAGAACTGTGAGGAAATAAATTTCTGTCATTTAAGCCATCCAGTCTGTGGTACAGTTATGGCAGTCCCAGCAAACTAACAATAGGCCCCATCATCTCTTCTGGGACAG